CTGCACAGCGTCCCCGCACCTCTTCGCAGATCAATCGAACCGCGGGCACGGCGGAATCGACCAGATCGAACCCCACCCGCAGAAAAGGAAGCCGCCCTTTGGGCGTGCTCTTGTAAAGCCCATCAGTACCGCGCGCATACATCGACACGCACCATGGAATCGACCGACTCGTGGACAGCCCCGTCGGCAAACCTCTCGGAGGACGTCGTGGCAGCAGCTCGGGCCAATCGCGCCGCAAGGAACCTTTTGTATCGGAGCCAGCGGCGTGAACCAGGTTTCTTCGGGTCGCGGCTACAGCAGCATCTGAAGGATTAGGCAGTCGGTGGATCGTCCTCTCTTCGCATCGCTTCCCCAGCCTCGCCCCCCACAGAGGAGGACTGAGGAGGAGGAGGAAGAAGAGGGAGAGGAGGAAGGAGGGAGGAGGGAGGAGGAGAAGGAGGAGGAAGGAGGGAGGAGGAGGTGGAGGTAGAGGAGGAGGAGGAGGATCACCTTCCAGGGTGTCGCGTTGAGACCAGAGGGCGGGTGGGACGGAGGAGCTGGGACGGAGGAGGTGGGATAGAGGCAGGGGCCCAGGGGAGGGAAGGTGGGGCGGGAAGGGAGATAGGGGCAGTGGGAAAGGGGAGATATCCTACTTTCCTGTCGTTGGGAGCAAACTTCACCCTTTCCCTTCCCCTCGTCCTCCTCCTCCTCCTCCTCCAGTTCCTCATCATCCTGCTTCTTCCTCATCCTCATCATCCACGTTGCCATGCTGTTCCTCCTCCTGCTTGTTCGCAGCTGCTGAATGATGTCTGCCCCAGGGATCCAAGCAAGACGCCCTTGGGTTAATCGAGATACGTTGGGTTTTACTGCAGATCGATGTTCTTACTGCCGAGCTGGCGATTACGAAAATCGAGCAGAAATTGAATATTCGAATCCGCAGGAGTGCCAAACTTGAGAAATAAGCATGGCTGAATCATCTTACCGCGGCGGGGAACTGGGATGCTGTTCAGTACTCGCGACAATCCAAGAAGGCACAGCATACAACAATGCAGAGGCCTGATGGCACCGCGGCAGACACATCTGAAGAGCAGACGTGGTGGCGCACATCTTGAAAAGCACGCCGTGTGAATACAAACTCCCCTAGATACTACCGAATCGCTGCGCGCACCTGGGCGAGGCGCTGCGGGCCACAAATGGCGCCGTCACGATGGAGCAATTTCGAACCGGCGGCAAACGATGGGAGCACGAGCTCCTGCGCGCCCAGAAGTCTGCCCTGGCTGGTCGACGACAATAAAACAGGGCTAGGATCGGGATAAATCGCTCCAGAGCGTTCCGGAGCGCTCTCAGAGTGTTCCGGAACGCTCTGGAGCGGCCGCGGCGCCCAATATATCCTCCAAGCCCGCCGATTCTCAGAGATTTCGAGTTATCCCGATCCGATTTTGTCCCGATCTTCGCGTCGTTTTAGACAATTCCGGCACCGGCAGGACAACGTCAGCAATCAGCCGACAGCGGCGCGCGGCGAGACGGGCAGCCGGCTCGGTGCGCGCGCGCCTCGCACATTGCGAGCCCCAGTCTCGCCGGCACAGCAGGAACCTCCGATGCGCGAGGGGGCGCGCGGCGCCGTCGGGCACCCGGGCGCGCGCATCCCACGGTGTAGTACGCGGCGGGGTGCTCTTGGGAGCGGCAAAAGTACAATCGGGGCGTTGACCTAAGGAACCCTAAATAAGGAACGACGCCCCTTTTCTCCGGAAGTTAAACGTCGATTTCCCATCGAAAACATGAGGAAACCCTGAGGCAAGTTGCGAAAAAATTAAGGAACACCGAGCCCCTCCCCAACGAAAAGGGGTTCCTTCTGCAGGACCCCTACTGTAATCGTTCCGAATGCGCGCGCGAAGACGGGCGTGCGCCTCCACAAGCAGGAGCCCATTTGCATTCTCGTTGCACTGCGGACCAGGGCGCCCGAACACACACGCGGGCCGACGATCGCGCCATTGTCCCCCATCTGCCCACGCAGTCTCGCATCGAAGTCGCCCATGGCGATTTCTGGCCAGGCGGAAGAGCGAGACTCAACAAACTCTACAAAGTATTGGAATAATGTTTGCCGCAGTTACAAATATCTTCCGCCGCGCGGGGCGCATGCTGAGAATAGAGCAGCCTTGTCTCCAGAAACTCGCATCTTCAACGACGCCGCCCTCGACGACGCCAGGCAGAAGAATCCAACCGCGGATCTGCGGGCAGCCGGCGCCGCGACGAAGCCGGCGCCGACCTCCTCGGACGACTCGGTGGCTTCGCCTGAGCGGATGACGAGATAGCCGGACTCGGAGACTAAAGCTTCAGACGTTGGGATGCGCGTCTCTTGTACGCACAAGATCATGATGTCGTTTTTTTGTCTCTCTCTCTCTCTCTCTCTCGGAACCAATTCGAGCTCGAACTGTTTTTAGACAAACGCGTTCCATTATTCGCAAAGTAACTACTCGCACATGGCCTGGATTCGCCACGGGGGATCTACGATAAATACCATCGAAGCAACCAAATGTTTCTTTGCGAGCAGGCACTCTGCGAGTAGGCACTTTGCGAGGAGTGGAACGCGTTCGGTGAGTTTTGCCCCCGCGTAGCCTTCAGCGCTCCACGATGCCATTGCGAATTCGTGCTGAGCCGGGCGCAAAAAGCAGCCCCGCGCAGCAGAGAGCGACACCACTGTTTGATAAAGCTGCCGGGCCCCACCCGCAAAAGGAACATGAGTCACAAGCGGGTTCCCAAGCGGCAAAAACGAGCCCGCACAACTCCAGGGTTCTGGCCGTGCTCCGCCGGCACCTCTACATTGGCAGCGTTCCTCCACTGCCTCCATTCGTCTTCCCCTCGGCCCCCCTTCCCCAGCCATTCATTGTGGCGCTCCCCAACTTCTCGCGCAACTTCGAGACTGCGATGGGGAATTCGGGAAAATCGGCCTGGGTCAGCCAGTCCTCCCAGCCGGCGCCGCCCTTCACTTTCACCGCGCCCTCTTCGAGCACAACTCTGGCCGCAACCTCGTCTCCGACCCACGCCTGCCCAGTTTCCGGGTCAACCCGCGCGCTCTGGTTCGTCAAGCCCCACTCCGTGAGAAAACGTTGTGTCCCGAAGACAAACCAATTGAGGACCCTCTTGGCCAAAACCTTATCTGGCTTGGCCAAGATCAGGCCCCCTTTTCCTTGAAAGCCTCCTTCCGGAAAATCTGAACTGCTGCGCCCCTCTCTGACTTGCACAGGAACTTCGCGAACATGATGCTCCTGAGGTCCCCTTTGAGGTGCACACCCTGCGGTTTGGGGGCGCAGGCGTTCAAGGATCTGTCTTCTTCTGAGCTTCCCAAAGGCTCTGGAATGACTGAGGGCCTCCAACCACCATCGCATCTTGCTTCTCATCCTTCTCCTTCTCGTTTGGAGCTGGGGTGGTGCCCTTAAGCTGCTCGATCTCCACGCGCAGCGCCTCGATGCGGTCCCAGAATTCAGCGTCGGCACTGCGGCCGGACGTCGGTGAACCGCCTGCGCGCGCGCATATGTTCCTCAAGCTCGCGAGGCGGATGTCTACGTCCTCCACGTCATTCTCGACCTCCCCAAACTTGCCATCGAACCTCTCCCTCAACTCCTTTAGGCGCTTGTCGAAGTGTTCGATGGTGGCATTGATCAGCTGGACCTCCTGGCGGATGGCGGCAGCAATTTCCTGAAGGGTCGGGGGATGTCGTTGCTGATGAGGCGATGGTACTGCATATGCCTCTGCGGGAGTAGCTAGCGAAGAGTTATGATGCACCTCTGGCGGAGCTGCACAAATAAGGACATCCAGCCCATCCATTCGGTGAACAGGCTGAACAAGCACTGACGAGCATCACGATCACGTACTCCTCGAACCGGTGTTGCTAGCGCGCGGGAGCCCGCGGCCATCGCCAAAGATGGAAAGGGAAAGTGGAAGGAAGTCGGTGATTCAGCTGAGAATGGAAGCAAGTTGGCGAGTAAGTGGAAGTAAGTTGCTTGAGCCAACGACGGAGTAAATTGGTGAGGAAGTGGAAGTCAGATGCGTCAGGAACTGAAGGGAACTTGGTGCGCAAGTGAAAGGAAGTTGGTGAGGAAGGGATGGGACATTACGACTGCAAATCTCCACAGACAGCATAACATCACGAACAGGCGGCGGCGCAATAACATCTATGTGCGGAATGATTCACCTGGGAGGACTTTTCACGTGCGACAGCAAAGTGGCGACTGAATTGACACGCGGATTGGGAAACACTATAAGAGGATTTTGCAGAACCAGGATGAGCTGTGGGATAACGCCTCGGTTGGAAAACTGCGAACACAAACTGTGAACACAAACTGCCTTGGACTCGTTTCGGTTACTTAAAGCAGACAGAACGCGGCTTGACGCTTCCAGTGCAGGTGCTGGCGACGACTTATTAACGTTCAACGCAGCCATTCTGAAGAGAGCCGGCGCAAAGCCTCAGTGTAGTTCTGTAGACGCGCAAGAATACCTAACCTTGCGATGTCCACAAGTGCTAAACATCCTTTGGGCAAGAAAAGTTGTACGCAAACAACATGGATTACCACAGCGCTGGGCTCCTCGTCGACGATGTGGAATTGTAGTCCTAGGCAGCAGTGGTCTTCCTCACTATGTGCTCTGAGCCAATCTCGCCTTCCTCATTACCCCCACCCTCTTTGAGTTGTTACCACTCGTTGTATCTCGGCGGCTAAAATGTGTCCCGTGCGGTTGCCAATGTCGCAAATTTGCGTTTTGTGTCGCAATCGTGTTGCTTATTGGTTCCTGCTTCAGAGTCAGATCTCCATGCAGTCCTTTTTCTTTTGGTTTCCGAAGAGGTGCCAATTGCGCACTCTTCTGCCCACGCGTCCTGCTGGATGCTCGGCTCCATGGTGGGGGTGGTTCCTCATCCTCCTGCTCCTGGTGCCCTCATCCTGCTCGTCCCCCTCTCCTCCTCCTCCTCCTCCTCCTCCTCCTCCTCGTCCTCCTGCTCATCCTCCTCATCATCACCATCATCATCATCATCACCACCACCGTCATCCCAATCCAACTCATACTCATACTGGTCCCCGTCCTCTTCTTCCTCCTCGTCAGCCGCCCTCGCGACCTCCAGCCCACCTCATTTCCAGTCCCCTCCCACTCCTCCCCAGCGGCAGCGGTACCTTCATCTCCCCTGCTCCCAATCTCTCCTCATCATAAAAATCATCATCCATATCATCCCCAGAACCATCACCCTCACCCTCACCCTCACCCTAACCATAACCATCACCAACATCACCATAGTCAGCAGAAGCATCGCCATCGTCGTAAATCGTCATCGACGCCGTCAACGTTACCAGCTTAAGAATGCCTATATTCATGATCCTCACCAACATGATCATCACAATGACAACCACCATCACCATCATTTTACCAGCACCATCGCCACTCTATCAGCATCATCAGCATCACAATGATAATCAGCATCATCATCATAATCAGCATCATCAGCATCATCGTCATCAACAGCATCATCATAATCAGTATCATCAGCATCAGCAGCAGCAGCAACATGATCATCATCATCAACAACAGCAGCATCATTAGCATCGTCATCATCAGCATCAACAACAACATCGTCATCAGCATCATCGTCAGCATCATCGTCAACATCATCAGCATCTTCATGACCATCACCATCACCAGTATCAACGTCATCATCATCATCATAATCATCAGCAGCATCAGCGTCATCATCATCATCAGCAGCATCATCATCATCTGCAGCATCATCATGGGCACCATCATCAGCAGCAACATCAACATCATCAGCAGCAGCATCAGCAGCATCATCGTCATCATTGTCATCATCATCGGCATCAGCATCATCCGTATCATCAGCATCATCAGTATCATCAGCATCGTCATCATCATCAGCAGCAGCATCATCAGCATCATGATCTCAAGCATCATCAGCATCATCATCACCATCGTCAGCATCATCATCAGCAGCAGCATCAACATCATCAGCATCAGCATCGTCATCATCAGCAGCATAACCAGCATCATCATCATCATCAGCATCATCATCATCATCAACATCATCAATATCATCATGATCAGCATAATCAACAACATCATCATCAGCAGCATCAGCTTCAATATCACCAATACCATCACCACCACTACCATCATCAGCATCACACTCATCGTCATCATCATCAGCAGCACAATCGTCAGTATCGTAATCATCATCATAGGCATCATCAACATCATCATCGTGGTATTGCCCATCATCATCAGCAGCGGCATCATCGGCATCATCATCAGCAACACTTTGTGATTATCATCATCCGCATCATAATCATCAGAACCAGCCTCATCATGTTCATCATCAGCATAATCATCATCATCGTCATCATCGCCATGATCATGATCCGCAACAACATCATCATCATCAGCAGCAGCATCATCATCAGCATCATCATCAGCAGCAGCATCATCCAAATCATCAACATCACCAGTATCCACATCAGCATATCGACCATCGCCATCATCATCGTCATGGTCATCATCGTCAACGTCGTCGTTGCTATCACCACCTTAACCCCAATCACCTCGACAATCATCCGCACGGCTCATCGCCATGACCGTTATCATCGTCGTCGTCGTTATTATCAGCCTCCACCTCCTCTCGCGTTATCGTTATCGCGTTTCACCTCCTCCTCCTCCTCTTCCTCCTCTTCCTCCTCCTACCTCCTCCTCCTCTCCTCCTCCTCCTCCTCCTCCTCCTCCTCCTCCAACTCCTCCTCTCCTCCTCCTCCTCCTCCTCCTCCTCCTCCTCCCCCTCTCCCAGGCGCGCGGGGCCCGGCCCTGTGCGCCCCGCCGAGCAGCTCACACCCTCGGTGCGGCCTCAGCATGGCTGCTCGAAAGGGTCCTCCTCCCCTCGCCCATCCTCCCCCCCCCCCCGCCCCTCACCCCTTCACGAGGGCACCGCTGCCCCTCCCCGCCAGATGCGAGGCCCGCCCACCTCCGCGCCCCCGTCGAGAGAACCGAACGGGCGGCGCGCCGAAGTATATGAACATGTCTTCCCTGTTCCCCTCCTCGATGAGGAGGTCCTCGACCTCGGCGGGCCGCGCGCGGGCCGAGCCGAGCGAAGAAGAAGAAGAAATGAGTTTGAAAGGAGTGAATACAGGATTTGAAAACACTGATAATATTCAATGAATACATGCTAATCGTAACAATAGTAAAAATAGATTACTAAGAAAAGAAAAATAATAATAATAATAATAATAATAAGAAGAAGAAGAAGAAGCAGCAGCAGCAGCAGCAGCAGCAGCAGCGGCGGCGGCGGCGGCGGCAGGAGGAGATGTGGGCGCGAGGAGGAAGGGCAGCAGCGGCAGGAGGAGGAAGGGCAGGCGAAGGAGGACAGACGAGGGGCAGGAAGAGGAGCAGGGGCAGGAGGAAAGGCAGGAGGAGGGGGGGGGAGGAAGGCAGGAGGAGGAAGGGCAGGAGGAAGGCAGGAGGGGAAGAGGAAAGCAGGAGGGGCAGGAAGGGCAGGAGGCAATGGGGAGGCAGCAGTGAAGACGCAGGAGGCGCCGACACTGAACGGTGCCCACCGCGCAAGACTGCGTCCAGTGGAGACACGGCCACAAGAACGTGGACGTGGGTCAAGAACATGTGCCCTTTCGTCGACGCCCCGAGGCCTCGCGGAGATGACCGGAGCAAACAGCATCCCGAGGTGGAGCGCCCGCGCACGAAGACTAGGAAGGCACACTTTCAGAACTACGGCTGCTCTACACCTGGGGGCGTCGAAGGCGGGGGGCGTCCGAGAGAGGGGGTCGCAAAGCATGGCCCGCGGCACGTGCGCGGCACAAGCGGGGAGGCAAAAGACGTGTTGAGATAAGCAGGTGCGCAGAGAAATGAAATCTCGAAAATGATCCTGCCCCCCGCCGTGATGTCAACCCCCCCTGTCATCACCGCCCTCGTTTGGCCGCCCCGGCTAAACTTCGTGCCGGCTGCATCGGCCACACGCCAGGGGCAGGAAACCCCCCGAGCGACACCAGGCCAGGAGGAGGAAACGAAGGACCGAAGAGACACAGCCCGGTCGCATCGTGCGGACGCGCGGCAAGGATGCACGGGCCTGGGAGGGCCACGCTGGCGTTTCGCCACGGGGCTGGCCGGCGAAGATCGCCAAGGCTGGACCGAAGGGGCACGGCTGCGAGGGCAACCCTGGCAAGTTGCGCATCCTTGCTGACTACCTACCAGACCACCCCAACCCAACCCGAAGACCCGAATTTCGGGTTGGGGGGGGGTATGGGTTCCATGCGTGTTTTTTCGATGTTCCCCACTGGAAGTGGAGGGCAAATTGAGGCCTTCGGGTTGGGTTGGGGTGGCTTGGTGGGTGGTGACTTGCTGTGTGACTGGACGGAAGCCCGCGCCGGAGCGCGGGCGCCCCTGCCCCACGGAGTGCCGCTGCGTGGCGACCAGGCGCGGACGACCAGGCGCGCCGCGCCCAACGGGCCCGCTCGGCTGCCGGCGCGCCGGGCCCCCCCTCGCGTGCCCCCCGGGCCGCCGGCCAGGCAGCGAGGACGCGACCAGCACGGGGCGCTGCCTAAAGGGGTGGGCGATGAGGAAGCGTCTCGTCATTTCTTGGGGACGCCCGAGATGGGCACGGAAACAGTGGGCACAATGCCCAACAGCGAATGTTGTCCCAAACCAACAGCGGCCGCTGTTGGGCAGGCGGCCCTGTGACTCGAATGGACACAGGCCGCGGCGGCGCGGACAGCGAATCCTGTTCAAAATGAACAGGAACTGCTCTTGGGCATTGTACCCATTCTTTCCGTACCCATTTCGGGCGTCTCGTCACTTTTCGAGGCAGCGGCCGTTACCGGCCCCGGCCGCCCGCCCGCCCCCCCAGGGTGACGTCACGACTCGTGGGTGACCTCGCGTGGTACGTAGTCGTTCGTAGACATCCCCACGCGGCGCAAGCGCAACACGTAACGTGTCTGGCCCCCCACCCGCGCTCCCCCCCCCCAGTGGAGGGGACGGATGCTTCTATTCAACGAAATATGTTCGACTGGTTGTTTTGCGGATTTACGTTTTCACGCTTCCTGATTGAAAACGAAAAAACCTCCGATTCGAACGCAACTGAAGTCCACTGACCATGGGATATATTCCATACTTCTCACATAGACATGGTCCTATTCATACCGACCTGAGATAAAATGAACCTGGGGGTTCTCCCAAATCCTATCGTATCCACATCGAGCGCCTATTCACATGCAGTGAGAATCCTCTGAAACTGGGGTCGTCTCCTCTCCGATCGCAATGCTAGTGGGCCCCAATGAACATCCACTTGAAATCCTCTGAGATTCCACCAGCCCTCTGGGCGTAGAAGGTGGTTTAACGATATCCTTCTTCCCTCTTCCAAAAGCCCCTCGTCCCCTTCGGGGAGCGGTTTGCCGCTCCCCCATACCCCTCCCCTGGACCTGGACGGGGAGGGGCTGGAGCTGTCAGAGCGCCCAAGATGACCCAAGATGGCTCCAGAAGGGCCTCAGGAAGCCCAAGATGGCCTCCAAGATCGCTCAAAATAGCCCACCATGGCTCAAGATAGCTAACATCCCACCGGATGGATCCAGGTGTCTTTGGAGACCCCTCAGGACCTCCCCGAGAAGCGAAAATATTTCAAAAACTTAAATCAAATTACTCCGACGGTAGGACCCCACACGAGAATCTGTTTAGCTTACCCTTTTCCCTTTCCTCTTCCTCCTGGGGCTCCCGCCTGAGACTTCCTCACAATTCACTCACAGACGAGGCTCCCGCTCGAGACCTCCTCCATATTCATATCTCAAGAGCCCAAAAGTGACGACAGTTGCACGTTGCGGATGACCCGCTCGGATTCAAACATGAAGTGCGGGCCCCATAGGGCCTCACAATTCACTCACAGACGAGGCTCCCGCTCGAGACTTCCTCCATATTCAAGTCTCAAGAGCCCAAAAGTGGCGACAGTTGCACGTTGCGGATGACCCGCTCGGATTCGAGCATGAAGTGCGGGCCCCATAGGGAGGGGGCTCCCGCCTGAGACTTCCTCACAATTCACTCACAGACGAGGCTCCCGCCTGATACTTTCTCCATATTCAGGCCTCAAGAGCCCAAAAGTGACGACAGTTGCACGTTGCGGATGACCCGCTCGGATTCAAACATGAAGTGCGGGCCCCATAAGGAGGGGGCTCCCGCCTGAGACTTCCTCGCAATTCACTCACAGACGAGGCTCCCGCTCGAGACTTCCTCCATACTCAAGTCTCAAGAGCCCAAAAGTGACGACAGTTGCACGTTGCGGATGACCCGCTCGGATTCAAACATGAAGTGCGGGCCCCATAGGGAGAGGGCTCCCGCCTGAGACTTCCTCGCAATTCACTCACAGACGAGGCTCCCGCTCGAGACTTCCTCCATATTCATTTCTCAAGAACCCAAAAGTGACGACAGTTGCCCGTTGCGGATGACCCGCTCGGGTTCAAACATGAAGCGCGGGCCCCATAGGGAGGGGGCTCCCGCCTGAGACTTCCTCACAATTCACTCACAGACGAGGCTCCCACCCGAGACTTCCTCCATATTCAGGCCTCAAGAGTCCAAAAGTGACGACAGTGGCACGTTGCGGATGACCCGCTCGGATTCAAACATGAAGCGCGGGCCCCATAGGGAGGGGGCTCCCACCTGAGACTTCCTCGCAATTCACTCACAGACGAGGCTCCCGCTCGAGACTTCCTCCATATTCATATCTCAAGAGCCCAAAAGTGACGACAGTTGCACGTTGCGGATGACCCGCTCGGATTCAAACATGAAGTGCGGGCCCCATAGGGAGGGGGCTCCCGCCTGAGACTTCCTCACAATTCACTCACAGACGAGGCTCCCGCTCGAGACTTCCTCCATATTCAAATCTCAAGAGCCCAAAAGTGACGACAGTTGCACGTTGCGGATGACCCGCTCGGATTCAAACATGAAGTGCGGGCCCCATAGGGAGGGGGCTCCCGCCTGAGACTTCCTCGCAATTCACTCACAGACGAGGCTCCCGCTCGAGACTTCCTCCATATTCATATCTCAAGAGCCCAAAAGTGACGACAGTTGCACGTTGCGGATGACCCGCTCGGGTTCAAACATGAAGCGCGGGCCCCATAGGGAGGGGGCTCCCGCCTGAGACTTCCTCACAATTCACTCACAGACGAGCTCCCGCTCGAGACTTCCTCCATATTCATATCTCAAGAGCCCAAAAGTGACGACAGTTGCACGTTGCGGATGACCCGCTCGGGTTCAAACATGAAGTGCGGGCCCCATAGGGAGGGGACTCCCGCCTGAGACTTCCTCACAATTCACTCACAAACGAGGCTCCCGCTCGAGACTTCCTCCATATTCATATCCTCAAGAGCTCAAAAGTGACGACAGTTGCACGTTGCGGATGACCCGCTCGGATTCAAACATGAAGCGCGGGCCCCATAGGGAGGGGGCTCCCGCCTAAGACTTCCTCACAATTCACTCACAGACGACGCTCCCGCTCGAGACTTCCTCCATATTCATATCTCAAGAGCCCAAAAGTGACGACAGTTGCACGTTGCGGATGACCCGCTCGGGTTCAAACATGAAGTGCGGGCCCCATAGGGAGGGGGCTCCCGCCTGAGACTTCCTCGCAATTCACTCACAGACGAGGCTCCTGCTCGAGACTTCCTCCATATTCAGGCCTCAAGTCAGCGAGTAGTGATGATGATGATGACCGTTCGATGCCGATGATGGTGAGTGATCGTGGGATGGTGATGGTGATGCTGATGGTGATGATGATGATGATGAGTGGGGAGTGATGGTGGTGGTGATGATGATGCGGAGGAGGAAGCAAAGAGGAGCAGAGGAGAGGGAGGAGGAGGAGGGCGAGGAGAGATCCTGCGCGGAGGGTGCGCAGAGAAAACAAGAACCCCACTTAGGACGTGGGGAACCAATGATATTTGCACTCTCGCCTTTTCGCTTCCGATGCGCTTTTGAGGCCTCATGACAACCCTCAGATGGCCCAAGAGAGCTCCAAGATGCGCCCAAGAGGGTCCCAAGACGGCCCCAAGACCGCCCAAGAGCGCCCCAATAGGGCCCCAAGAGGCGATTCCGAGGGCTCTTAGGGGGGGGGGCTACGTATAGGACCCCCCCTTTTGATCGATGGCTTCCAAGATGTCCCCATGAAGGCCTCCAGGACCTCCAAGAGGCCCCGAAGAGTCCCAAGAAAGCACCAAAAATGCCCCGAGAGGACCCCAAGACCGCCCCGTGATGGCCCCAAGGCGCCCCAGGAGAGCCCAAAGAGGACCCCAAGACCCCCCAGGGAGCCCCAAGAGGGCGACAAGTTGCCCCGAAAGAGCTCCAAGAGGACCCCAAGATCCCCCAATACAGCCCCATAGATCGCAGAAGGCCTTTGATGCTCCAAGATTGCCTCCAAGATGGCTTAACACCCTCCTTCTCCTCCTCTCCTTGCACGCTTAGCTTCACTGTATGTGTCTCTTCGTACCATTTCCCGTTGGCCCTTATGCGCAGGACTTCTGAATGGGCTGGTGGGGGTTCGCGAAGCATAAACAATTGGATATTAAATTGAATTCTACCTGGCCCATGTTCAATTGCAGTGGACACCCTTTGAGTCCTAAAGCACGCGCAATTCCAAACGAATTACAAATTGAATACAAATCACAACCATCCGCTTGTTCCCCAACCATCCTGTAGTGTTGGGTCATCGTTTTGAATAGACAGCGGCCCGAATCACTCCTCCTCCTCCTTCTCCTCTTCCTCACTCACGTTTCTCCTCTGCCGTCTCCTCCTCCTCGTTCTTATACACCTCCTCCTCATCATCATCAGCACCAGCATCCCCATCACCATATTACTAGTATTAGTCGTATACGTCTTCTTATGATTAGTATTATGGACCACACGTATGGGTGCTGGTATTAGCATTACAAGTGTTCTTATTCGTCTTCGCATTACGAGTATTAGTGTTCGTCTTATGTGTCGCAGTCCTCATGTTCTTAGTATTCGTAATAAGAGTATTATCCGTGTTCGTACTAGTCGTCGTACTCGCCTTCGTCGTCGTCGCATTCTTCTGTTCATTATCATTAATAGTATCAGTAGTATTAATAATAGTAGTAGTAGGCGTAGTAGTAGTAGTCCTCCACCTCATCCTACTCCTCCGCATCATCATCCTGCCACCCCCGCCCCTGCTCCCCCCCTGCTCCTCCTCCTCCTCCTCCTCATCCTCCACCTCCTCCTCCTCCTCCTCCTCCTCCTCCTCCTCATCATCATCATCATCAGCATCATCATCAGCATCATCATCATCATCATCAGCAGCAGCAGCAGCGGCAGCATCATCATCATCATCATCATCATCATCATCATCATCATCATCATCATCATCATCTCCATCATCAACAACAGCATCAGCATCAGCATCAGCATCAGCATCATCATCAGCATTCTCATCATACGAACATCATCCGTATCATCATGATGAGCATCATCAGCATCAGCATCAGCATCAGCATCAGCATCAGCATCATCATCATCAGCATCAGCATCAGCATCAGCATCAGCAGCATCATCATCATCATCATCATCATCATCATCATCATCAGTAGCAGCATCAGCATCATCGTCATCATCAGCATAATCCTGCTCGTCGTGTTCCTCATCCCTCCCACTTCCCTCTCTGGCAGCGTAGGCGGCAGACGTACGCTTTCAGGCCGTAGTTCAAGACCAGGGCAAGCACCATCGTGATGAGCGACAACAGCAGCAAGGACCAGACCAGGGCAGACAGGCTGGCCTGGGAGATGAGGGAGCGAGCAGCAGGGAATGATACCACCGCTGCACTCAGCTCTTCACCCCGTGCTCCAATCATCCCCCTTCTCATTCCCCTGCTGATGTTCCGTCTCCCAGTCCTCCTCCCCTTCACCACCTCATCCTGCTCTTCCTCTTCCTCCCCATCCCCCTCCTCCTCCTCTAACTTGTTTCTCCCCTATCCTCCTCCTCCTCTGCCTCCTCCTCCTCCTCCATCTCTTGTTCCGCCGTCTTCTGCTGCTGCTGTTGCTCATCCTCCTCCGAAGCCATTTTGGCGCAAGGTCCGCAGCGTGGAGCTCTCTTTCAGGTTGGCAAGGGAGGCGAACCTCCGCCCGCGATCCCTTGCCTGCGCGCAAGCATGTCTTCGCATCTCGCATTTCAGCGACGCCAGCTGCACCCTGGGCTCATACGACAGACGCACGGCCGCTGCAGCAACACCAGCTTGTTGCCCGCGGAATCTCCTCACACGTTGAACCTCTCGGCCAGATCGACGTGCGCGCGGGGAGGGGAGCCTCAGGGGCGGGCGGGCTGCAGGCGGCTGCTCTTCTCGCCGCAGCATCCGCTGGGCAAGGGAGCAGTCCATGGCCTGGACAAGCGACGTCAGGATTGTTTCAGCACGCGGTCCCCGGAAGTCCCGACCCTTTCCCCAGTCGGCGACTCCAAAGGGTGTGGATTGCAAAGGGTGCGGTTTGCAACGGGCACCCTGGGGAACATCCTGGGGGGGCACCCTGGGGGGTCGCGCGGGGACCTCTCGGTAGAGTCTTCCCGCGCCCCGGGGAGGCCCGACGACCACAGCGTCGTGCCCCCCAGGCCCAAGCGGTGCCGATCGCAAGCCACACCCCTGCGTAACCGTACCCCCTTGCAGTCGCCGACCGAGGACCTGCTCTTCGTCCTGCACTGTCTCTTGACGGCCCCGTGGCCCGGCGAGGGCCCCCCCGGAGGCCGAAGATGGCAGAGGCTCTGCCCGTCGTGACTCTTCGATCGTGTCCGAAGGGGGGGGGGCGAGCATGGCCAAAAAGTCCCCCCGTCCTGTAGGAAGGTCAAGAACTCAAGGAGGCCAAAACTAATTGTTTCGAGGCGCTTGGCCCGTGCTCTGAGCGGCACTAAAAGTCCGAGACAAATTGGGGCAGGAAGGGGGGGCCATCCTGATGTTCTTACGGCGCGACCCTCTCCGGGGGCGAGTTGGCGATCGAGGAGGGCAGCAGCGAGGCGGAGTCCATTATTGGTTATCAAGAGCAAGGAAGAGGAGGAGGAGGAGGAGGAGGAGGAGGAGGAGGAGGAGGAGAAGGAGGGAGGAGGAGGAGGAGGAGGAGGAGGAGGAGGAGGAGGAGAGGAGGAGGAGGAGGAGGAGGGGAGGAGGGGGAGAGGAGGGAGGAGTAGGGAGGGGGGAGGAGGAGGAGGGAGGAGGAGGGAGGAGGAAGAGGAGGAGGAGAAGGACTGCGGCTACGGCGGGAGAGACCGCCGCGTGGCCGCCAGTGAGGAGGAGGAGAAGGAGGAGGAGGAGGAGAAGGAGGAGGAGGAGGAGGAGAAGGTTTTAGGACCAGGCCGATTCACAGCGGAAAGAAAAAAGGGGGACACAACTTATAGGCCTACCACGCCGTGTTCTCAGAACAAAAGAATGGTCTAAACGCAATGCTCCTGGAACGTAAACCCGATGTATCATACGAAAACGACTTCGGCCAGAAATGATACAAGAACGTGTCGTGGAAACAATTACAGGTGGTCGTTTGGACATTCTTCGGTGGGCCTACAGGAAGGCCAGGACGCCTCACCACTTCCTCGTCCAGAGGCCTCCCACATGGGGTCAGAGCAGATGGGGTCGGAGGCTCACGCCGCATCGGCACTGCGCCCCCGGTGCGCCCTGGAGGGAGCGTGAATGTGCCCAGGGCCCCGAGATGTCTGCTCCACGGAGAGTCGGGGGTCTTCTGACCCGGGTCAATCCAGACCCGGGCCAGTCAGGCCTTGCAGAATCCTGCGAGATCCTGCGGGGGATCCTGCACCCAGACCCGGGTCCATGCGAAGGACCCTGCAAGATCCTGCAGGAGCCCGCACCCAAGCCCGGGTCCATGCGACCCTGTCCCCGCAGGATCCTGCAAGATCGGGCGCTCTGGCGGACCCCCGTTTGCATCGACCCCCGCCTCGAGGCTCCCGACGAGAGCGGGATGGCCGTCAGCCTGTGAGCTGTAGGCGGGGCTGAGGCCGGCAGCGGCCCTCCGGGCCGCCATGCCCCCCCTCAAGGGGCCTCCTGCGGGCGAGTCCGGCCAGGTGCGCGCTCTGCCGCCCCCGGGGTGCCTCGTCGCATGGTCGATCTGACGGTGGCCCCTCTCCGTCCCCATGTCCACGTCGGGCGACGCACACATGGTGTACAAATTGTAAGTCTGGGCGATTGCGAGCCCGTGGGGGGGCCCAGGGGCACACACACAGAGAGAGATACGCACAGACCATCCGAGGATCCGACCTCTGTCTGCACAGCTGCTGGGCCTGCGCCTTCCCCTCCACTATAGGTTGCCCAGATTTTCCCACGGGAATCGATGCGAATTTGTGTGAGTGTTTATGTTGCTCCCATCGCACTCAAGGACCACATCCCAGAAATACTTTCGAGCACCCGAGAAGTATCGAAGCAGTGTCGAGACAGTGTCGAACAAGTGCCTCCCAGGGCCCGACAGGTGAGACCCCGCGAGCTTCGGTACTTCGTCTCGGTGCTCGACACTCTTCCTGGCGATTCAGGCTGAAGCAAGCTGGAACATATCATGATGTGAATACGTTCGGGGATCTTCTGACCCGGGTCAATCCAGACCCGGGTCAGCAGGAAACCAAAAACTGCAACGCAGAAAAAAAAAACTGCACCGCAGGTCTTCGCAAACCCGGGTCAGCCAATACGCGCGGCCGCCTCGCGGCCACGAGCGGCTCGCGAACCCGGGCCAGCCAGAGGGGGTCTCCGCAGGGTCCTGCAGGATCTGACGCCCTGGCTGACCCCCCTTTGCATCGACCCCCGTCTCAAGGCTCCCAGTAGGTGTGCTCTCGCTCCTCCCCGGAGGGCGCGTCGCCCCTGGGCGGGTGGCGCCCAGACCCGCCCCCATGGCGGCCCTGTGAGGCCCGCGGGGCCGACGCTGCTGGCGCGCGGGGCTCGGCCTCGGCCGGCGGTCCCCCGGCGGCCCCCTCCGTGGGCGACGGCCTCGCGGGCGGGGCCCCTTCGGGCGCTCTCGGTTTCGGACGCCCGAAACTTAACGGGCGAAGAACGGTACAAAATAAACTGTTTCGCTGTCGGAGGCGCCTGTCCCAGGGCGGCTGGAAAGTTTATACCCTTACGGTCCTTATGGTGGCACCGTAGGGGTATAAACTTCCCAGCCGCCCAGGGGCAGGCGCCCCCGACAGCGAAAAAGTTTATTTTCTACCGTTCTTCGCCCGTTAAGAGATGGGCACAGTGCCCAGCAACAAGTGCTGTCCCAAAAACCGACCGCGGCCGCGGCTGGGCAGGCGGCCTCCCGTCTCGAAGGGACACGGGCCGCGGCGGCGTGGACAGCGCACCCTGCTCAACATGAACAGGAACTGCTGCTGGGCAGTGTACCCATTCTTTCCGTACCCATTTCGTTCGTGCCGATCTGTCGTCGGACGGAACCAGGACGAGGATGAAAATCCGTTCCGGAGGGTGCCGGGACGCGGTCAGAGCGTTCCGGGATGAGGCTCTGAGAAGGCCGCGGCGCCCGAGGCATGCTCCAACCCGATGTTCTCCTCGGCCCCCTCGTGGGCGACGACATCGCGGGCTGGGCCCCTGGGCGTTTCCTTTCGTCGGTTGGGGGCGGCCATAGGGAAACGAAAAATGGCACGAACATAATAACTCGGAGGTCCGCGGGGATTTCTCGAATCGGCGCTGGGGCCCCCTGGCGGCGCCTCCGGCGCCGACCCTGGCGCGCTCCGCGCGCCAGGGAGGGGGGCCCAGCGCCGATCCGAGAAATCCGCGCGGAGCGCCGAGTTTGTATGGTTATGTCATTCTTCGCTTCCCTAGGCCAAGAGGGGGGTGTCAAATCATGGCCGGCGGCATGTGCGCTGCCCAGGGGGGGGGGCCAGGGACGCTTTGGAATAAGAAGGGGCGCCATGAAGTCTGAGGAGATATCATGTCGGGGGCGCGCAAACATGGATTAGCGATCCATGGATTTGGCGCGCGGTCGCCAAACCCATGGATCGGGGGAGATGCCCTCCCCAAAATGCGGCCGGTGCCGCCTCATTCGGCGGCTGGAGTACGCGATTTCCCATGGAAACGGAACCCGTCGCTAATCCACGCACCCTTAATCCATGTTTGCGAACGCGTGATCATGGCCCCCGCCATGATTTCAACCCCCCCCTAGTCATCATCCCCCTCTTTGCCGCCCCCGAGTCGGACAGGACCAGGACGAGAATGAAAATCCGTTCCGGAAGGTGCCGAGACGCCTTCAGAGCGTTCCGGAACGAGGCTCTACATGCTCCAGAGTCGCGGGATTTCAGAGATTCTCGATGTATCCTCACCCGATGTTATCCTCGTCCTGGCTTCGGCCCCCGCGCGGAACGTATCCTTAGGACCGCGTGTCCGCGGGATCGCGCCGGAATTCAAGAAATTCCCCCCGACCCGCCCCCAAAAAACTTGAGGGAAGGCTCTAGCGGGGTGAACCCCCCCGATAACCACAGACAGGGCCCTGCTCGAAAGGGGTCCTCAAGGGAAACCATCAAACGAAAAACCCTAAATGGTTTTGTTTGAAAGGGGTCCCGGGAGACATAAAACCACAAAAAAAAATCCAAGGCGGGATCCCTCCAAAAAACCCTCAAGCGGTTGGGGCGTCCCGGGGCATCCAGGGGGAATTTCCCCCCCGACCCCCTCCGAGAAACCCTTGGTCGAGGGAAGAAGCACGGGGACCGTGACCCAGATGTCGTGGGATCTAATCGATGCCGATGTTGGTCATG